CTACTCTGCTCTGGTGAGACCCCACCTGGAGTACTGCATCCAGCTCTGGAGCCTTCAGCATAAGAAAGACATCGACCTGTTGGAGCAGGTCCAGAAGAGGGCCATGAAAATGATCAGGAGGATGGGACACCTCTCCTATGAAGAACGGCTGAGAGAGTTGGGGTTGTTCAGCCTAGAGAAGAGAAGGCTTTGGGGAGACCTTATCGCAGCCTATCAGTACTTAAAGGGGGCTTATAAAAAAGATGGCAGCAAACTTTTTAGCAGGGCCTGTTGCGACAGGACAAGGGGGAATGGCTTTAAACTAAAGGGGGGTAGATTTAGACTAGATATAAGGAAGAAATAAAAAATGCTGAGGGTGGTGAAAGGCTGGCACAGGTTGCCCAGAGAGGTGGTGGATGCCCCATCCCTGGAAACATTCACGGTCAGGTTGGACGGGGCTCTGAGCAACATGATCTAGTTGAAGATGCCCCTGCCTACGGCAGGGGGGTTGGACTAGATGACCTTTAGAGGTCCCTTCCAATGCAAACTATTCTATGATTCTATGAAGAATATTTTCTGATGCTTTAATCATTAAGTCTCTAATGCCTATTTGAACCAAAGATGTTCTGAACTGTTTTCCAAAGTTTAACATATGTATTCTAGCAAAATTTGTTCAAGCACTTGGCACAAAAGTACTACAATCATCCCATTTTGAACCTTTTATATATAAAGAACATCAGCAAGTTCATGGTCCACATCTATAGGACATTTTTGAAAATTTTACCATCTCAATTTATCTTTTTTTTTTTAGTTACTACTTCTACAGTTACAGTCCCCAAACTTGTACATTCTCTTCTTCCTTCCTGTTGACTTCTACATTTGGCAATGGTACCAGAGGAATAACTACTGCCTATTAAGTGTTCACTTAATGTACACGGAAATTCCTGAAGTTTTTTGTGGGATACCACTGTAAGTTAGTTTATAAAAAAAAATCTATGCAAGGCATTGTCATTTAAGTAGTATTCAAAGCCTCAGAAACCACCTAGTCAAGTAGGCTGGTAAGGGAGAATCTAAGAAAAAGCTGGCCTTGTAACAGACTGCTTTACTTGTCTTGAATCAATTTCAGCAGTATCATCATGTAGTCTTCAGCATTGCCTCAATCAGAAAGCAGGAAGAAATACAAAGCAAAGGCTGACTGTCTGAAGCACATGACAAAGAATAAGAAATTAATTCTGCATAGTACTTCAGAGATTATAAAGAGTAACTGATGTGGTAGGAGGAGAAGAGCAATATGTAGTTGAAACAGTGTGTGACTATTTGAGCCCTGAAGTGGAAAGGGAAGCCAATACAGCTTATCAGAGAAAATAAGGTGTATCAGAACGAGGTTAACAATAGCGAGCACACAAAGTGGGTTCTCCATGCTACTTATCAAGAACCCCTAGGTGCAAGAGCATGGACACAGACACAGGCAGGATGTAGATATGTAAATTCACACAGAGAAATTCCTAATGCTACTGTGACCCCACAGCTTTTAAGCCCCAGAAGTTGGGCACCTCCACCACTCCTCCAAAAACCAAGCAAGAATCTCCTTTCTTAAGAGGGGAAAAAAAAAGGGTGGGGAAAAAAAAGGTTAGGGAAAAAAGAAATGGTTAATAATGGGTTTTGAGTTGATATATACTAGGTGTACTTCAAATTTGTGCACTCCATTATCACTCTCTGGGGATATATGTGAAAACACAATTTTATCAGTGTTAGGTTCAGGCAGAATTGCAGTGCCTAAGACATTGAGATCCTGAGCTTAAAACTCATATAGCACCATATGGGAAATACCTGAAATGAAAGAGGAACTGAATTCAGTGTACCAATAAGCCCAGAGTTAGTATTCCAATATTTGACCAACCTCGCCCCCCCAAGCAAACAGTCCAGACTGATTCAACACTACGTGGTTCATTACTGTCAATGTTATTTACTAAAAAAAGAGTAATGATCTTTCCTTCCAAAATGAACAGTAAAAGAAGTGTAAATAGAGACAGGAGACCTGTAAGATAAGTCTGTGGCAAATAGAAGTACATGGAAACTTCTCTGCCCACTATTTTTTTAAACCTTACTTACATTATGGTAACTTGGTA